AGCCAAGTATATAAATCAATTAATAACAAACTTAAACTCATTGATAATAATACAATACACTATAGTAGGGGACTTGAACACCCCCACTTACAGCAATGGACAGATCATCTAAGCAAAAGATCAACAAGGAAACAATGGCTTTGATTGACACAGTGGATCAGCTGGACTTAATAGATACATTCAGAACATTTAATGCTAACGTAGCATAATACACATTCTTCTCAAGCGCACATGGAACATTCTCCGAATACATCACTTACTGGGTCACAAATCAGGTCTTAACCAGTACATAAAGACTGAGGTCATACCATGTGTATTTTCAGACCACGACATTATGAAACTTGAAGTCAACCACAAGAAGAAATTTGGAAAAGATCACCAATACATGGAGGTTAAATAACATCCTACTAAAGAATGAATGGGTTAGCCAAGAAATTAAAGAAAAAATTTAAAAAATACATGGAAGCAAATTGAAATGAAAACACAACAGTCCAAAACCTTTGGGATGCAGCAAAGTCGGTTGGTCATGAGAGGGAAGTATATAGCAATACAGGGCTTCCACAAGAAGCAAGAAAACTCTCAAATACACAACCTAACCTTACACCAAAAGGAGCTGGAAAAAGAACAGCAAAGAAAGCCTAAAACCAGCAGAAGGAAAATAATAAAGATTAGAGCAGAAATAAATGATACAGAAATTTTAAAAAATAGTAGAACAGATCAACGAAACTAGGAGCTGGTTCTTTGAAAGAATTAACAAAGTTCATAAAGCCTTGCCCAGACTTATCAAAAAGAAAAGAGAAGGGACCCAAATAAATAAAATCAGGAATGAAAGAGGAGAGATCACAACCAACACTGCAGAAATATAATTATAAGAGATTATGACCAATTACATAACAACAAATTGGGCAATCTGGAAGAAATGCATAAATTCCTAGAAACATACAAACCCCCAAAACTGAACCAGAAGAAATAGAAAACTTGAAGAGACACATAACCAGCAAAGAAACTGAATCAATAATCAAAAATCAACAAACAAGAGTCCAGGGCCAGATGGATTCCCAGGGGTTAATTCTACCAACCATTTAAAGAAGAGTTAATATCAATTCTTCTGAAACTGTTCCAAAAAAATAGCAATGGAAGGAAACCTTCCAAACTTATTCTACGAAGCCAGCATTACCTTGATTCCAAAACCAGACAGAGACCCCACTAAAAAGGAGAATTACAGAACAATATCCCTGATGAACATGGATGTAAAAATTCTCAACAAGATACTAGCAAATCAAATCCTACATTAAAAGAATTATTCACCATGATCAAGTGGGATTTATTCCTGGGCTGCAAGGGTGGTTCAATAACCACAAATCAATCAATATCATATGCCACATTAATAAAAGAAAGGATAAGAACCATATGATCTTCTCAAAGATCTTCTCAAAAATCTCAAAGATTCCACCCCAAAAATTGCTAGAACTGATACATGAATTCAGCAAAGTTGCAAGATATAAAATCAATGTACAGAAATCTGTTTCATTTCTATACACCAACAATAATGAAGCAGCAGAAGGAGAAATCAAGGAGCTGATTTCATTTACAACTGCACCAAAGACCATAAGATACCTAGGAATAAACTTAACCAAAGAGGTAAAAGATCTGTACTCTAAAAGCTATAGCACACTTATGAAAAAAATTGAAGAGGACACAAAGAAATGGAAAAATATTAGATGCTCATGGACTGGAAGAGTAAATACTGCTAAAGTATCTATACTACCCAAAGCAATCTATACATTCAATGCAAACCCTATCAAAATACTACCAGCATTTTTCAGAGCTAGAACAAACAATTCTAAAATTTGGATAGAACCAGAAAAGACCCCGAATAGCCAAAGTAATATTGAAAAAGAAAAGCAAAGCAGGAGGCATCACAATTCTGGACTTCAAGCTGCGTTACAAAGCTGTAATCATCAAGGCAGTGTGGTACTGGCACAAAAACAGGACACATAGATCAATGGAACAGAACAGAGAACCCAGAAATGGACGCACAACTATCTGGTCAACTAATCTTTGACAAAGTAGGAAAGAATATCCATTGAAAAAAAAGACAGTCTCTTCAACAAATGGTGCTGGGAAAACTGGACAGCAATATGCAGAAGAATAAAACTGGACCACTTTCTTATACCACACACAAAAATAAATTCAAAATGGATGAAAGACCTAAATGTGAAACATGAAACCATCAAAATCCTAGAGAACACAGGCAATAACCTCTTTGACCTTGGCTGTAGCAACTTTTTACTAGACATGTTGCCAGAGGCAAGAGAAACAACAGCAAAACTGAACTATTGGGACTTCATCAAGATAAAAAGCTTCTGCATAGCAAAGGAAACAATCAACAAAACTAAAAGGCAGCCTATGGAATGGGAGAAGATACCTGCAAATGAAGTATCAGATAAAGGTTTAGTATCCAAAACCTATAAAGAACTTATCAAACTCAACACCCAAAAACCAAATTATCCAGTTAAGAAAGGGACAGAAGACATGAATAGACTCTTTTCCAAAAAAGACATACAGATGGCTAACAGACACATGAAAAGATGCTCAACATCACTCATCATCAGGGAAATGCAAATCAAAACCACAATGAGATACCACCCCACACCTGCCAGAACAGCTAAAATTAACAACACAGGAAACAACAGATGTTGGTGAAGATGCAGAGAAAGGGGAACCCTCATGCACTGCTGGTGGGAATGCAAACTGGTATAGCCACTCTGGAAAACAATATGGAGGTTCCTCAAAAAAGTTAAAAATAGAACTACCTTATGACCCAGCAAGGCACTACTAGGTATTTACCCAAAGGCTACAAAAATACAGATTCAAAAGGGTATACGCACCTTGATGTTTACAGTAGCATTATCAACAATAGCCAAACTATGGAAAGAGCCCAAGTATCCATGCAACTGATGAATGAGTAGAGAAGATGTGGTGTGTACACACACACACACACACACACACACACACACACACACACTGGACTATTACTGAACCATCAAAAAGAATGAAATCTTGCCATCTGCAACAACATGAATAGAACTAGAGTGCATTATGCTAAGCGAAATAAGTCAATTTGAGAAAGACAAATACCATATGATTTCACTCATGTGGAATTTAAGAAATAAAACAGATGAACACAGGGGAAGGGAAGGAAAAATAAGATAAAAACATAGAGGGAGGCAAACTGTAAGCCACTCTTAACTATAGAGAACAAACAGGGTTGCTCAAGGGGAGGTGTTTTGAGTGGGGATGAGCTAAATAGGTGATGGGCATTAAGGAGGGCACTTGTAATGAGCACTGGGTGTTATATGTAAGTGATGAATCACTAAAGTCTACTCCTGAAACCAATACTATACTATATGTTAACTAACTTGAATTTAAATAAAAACAAGAATAGTGACGAAAGTTTTGAGGAAGATGAGGTATAAACTTACTCTACCAGATATTAAGACTTATAAAACTACAGTAAGACTGTGTGGTCTTAATATACCTTAGGAGGATTAACCTACTTAAATCAAGTGAAATCAGTTAAAGGTGCTCTGAAGTTCAATTACAGTGAAAAGACACATATGTAAGTGAGCGAAAACTAAATATGCAGTAAACATATATACAGAAATGCATGCTGTTTGGCAGAAATGTTAAAATACAAATGGGTAGCTATGACTACTTCATATAACTTCATCCCAGCATGTCTCTGCTTGAAATACAAAATTTTGGAGAATAAAACTTGAGCTGTTACTGACTACAGAGGCTCCTACAAATAAAAACAAAAACCTCAAAATAACACTGTAATTATAATCTCAGATAATCATTTCCTCAAATCCAATCTATGAGATAAGGAAAAATACACTTTTAAATTATCCTTAATACCCTTAAATAATTTGTGGTGTAAATGTACCAAAAGGAGTGAAGGCCAAGAATAGAAAATAAGCATTATCTTTAAGGTTTAAAGAGTTTCTCCTCAAATTAAAAAAAAAAAAATCAATATATATATTTTTAGTAAATCAATATGATGGCAGTAATTTACCTCAATTCTTTTTTGAACAGCTGCTTTTGAGCAATTAAATCAAATAATCTAATAAAACTGTTGGTATATCACACATTATTTTCCTCCATAAATCTGTTCCTTTGCCTATATTCTTTCTTAGTTAATGGCAGAATTATAGATCCAAGTAGGAGTCAAAATCCTGGGAGATTTCCTAGATGACTCTCTCCACATCCAATTACTAACCAAGAGCTGCCAATTTTATCTGCTATAAATATCTTTCATAACGCCCTCTCTTCTGTATCTACACTGCCAACGCCTTAATTAAAGCAGGTTCCTAACTGGTTTCCCTGCTCCCAATTGCATTCTGCTGTAGGCCATCCTTTGAGGACAAGCCTTCTTAAAACACCAGTGAAATCATGTCACTTCCTTACTTAAAACAAACACTTCCCTCCATGGTCTTTAACAAACTTCAAAAAATTGTAAGTATACACAGCATTGGATGTGGATACCTTTATTCTTATCATGACTAAAATAACCTCTTCAGGCTGCTTCTACTTACAGCTGCCATAAGAAATATGTTCCTTTTAGCACTGTTCCCTTATTCTTACAGTTCCTGAATACCTCTCCCTCATTTGTGACTTCCTATGAATCCTTCAAGATTCAGCTCAGGAATTATTCTCTCACAATTAAATATCATCACTGTTCCTATCATAATCTTTCAGCAATACTTTTAATACTATTTCATAATTATTTGGCTAGACCTATTTTTTGCCTGTGGCTGTGACCTTCTCAAAAGGAAAGGTATTTCGTCTTCAATTCTGTGTCCCAGGACCTAAGGTAAGTACAGTACCAGCACCTATCAATCATAAATGCTTTTTAAGTGACTATAGGAACAAATCAATCTAATCCTAACATAAAAGCTTAACATAATATGTACACACATAGAATGCACTTTACTTACCAGATTTTAGTGCTGCAAGGATTCAACATATAAAGATCCATATTTTCTATAAGAATAGCAGATGTGCTCTATTTTAAAAAAGGGGGAAGGGAATAAATTACTTAAGGAAAAATATTTCAACTGTAAAGATTTCTATTTTTAGATCTTAAAATACTAAGATTCTGAAACACTCATCTGAGAAGAAGGCATAAAAATGGCTAAAATTTACTGGTTATGTCTATAGTGTTAAGTTAGCCTTACAACAAAACATTTTAAATTAAATGTCTGTTACTATAAAGGAAAAATGATTTTCTATTAGCTATTTTCTTTTTAAAATTTCAAACAGGTTTTAAAAGTTAAAAGACAGGATGAATGCCCTTCATTGGATGAAGAGATAAACTGCAGCACATCCAGACAACAGAATATCATTTAGCGCTAAAAAGAAATGAGCTATTAAGCCACAGATGAAACTTAAATGCATATTACTACATGAAAGAAGCCAATCTCAAAAGGCTACATACAGTATGAGTCCAACTACATGACACTCTGGAAAAGACAAATCTATGAAGATAGTAAAAAGATCGGGGGTTGAGGGGAGGGAGGGATGAACATGTGGAGCACAGAGGATTTTTAGGGCAGTAAAAATACTCTATGATACTATAATGATTGATAACGTGTCATTACACATTTGTTTAAACCTATAGACCATATGATAAGAATGAACCCTAACGTAAACTATAGACTTCAGGTGATAATAATGTGTCAGTGTAAGTTATCAACTGTAACAAATGTATCACTCTGGTGGGAAGTATGTTGATAATGGAGGAGGCTAAACATGTGTGAGAGTAAGGGTTATGAAAGAAATTTCTACCTTTCTCTCAATTTTGCTGTGAACCTTAACTGTTCTTAAAAAAACAAAGTCTTTGAAAGAAATAAAAAAGGTGCGATGTATCAACCAATATAACTAAGAATTCATACAAGAAAATGTCTTTAAAAGCATAATCTTACATTTATCAGTGAATCAGAAAAGTAGCTCATGTTAAAATACAGTTCTCAGCAAACTGCTACCTTGATTTAATAAAGTTACTAGTGTCCTACAAGTATAGAAGAATTTTATAGTTAAGTACCTTGGCTTCTGGATTAGCTGCCAAAATTTTGGCACCACATTCTACTGAGGCATAATTATTTCGATTTTTCTGCACTTTTTTTGTTGCATGTAGACCTCCATTAGAAGATGGATGCATTGACTGACCTGCAGACAAACCTTATTATAAACATATATATATGATGATTATGATTAAAAATACTCCCAACAATGATCTCAAAAGCAATAGCTGATGTGTACTGAAGAACAGGTTCTAATGCTTAAGAGAATGTTTTAAAAAACCCGTTAAATTCAAAATGCTTTACCTCATTGGCTTTAAAATACTCCCCCAAACCAAATTAACTACAAAAATCCACATTACTTGATTTATGTCTAAGTAATATAATTCTCAAAATAAAGCTTATCCATGAGAATCAAAATATTGTATATACATATTTTATTAAAGATGAATGCTGTCCTTCTAGCATTAAGAATTTTTAACTCTGAGACTTACTTTACAAAAAGAAACTGTAATACCTCAGTCCAACTCTATTTACAGTTTAAAGCTTTATGACTCAAAAGTTTCATTCATATCCCAGACAAGCCCCCCAAAAAACAAACAAACAAAAAGTTTCTGTGCAATTTTCCTTATAAACTGAAATGAAAACTACTGCTCTGCCTACTTTATCTTATTTTTTCCTCATTTAATAATTTATAAAATGGATTTTAATTAAGATTAAAACTATATAATTATACACAGGTAAATTACATAGGTTGATAATTATACATCTTAGTAACTTTCACCTTTAAAAAGCTTTCAAAGGTTTTATTTTATTTTACCAACTATGGAGAGAAATGCGTATTTAAACCAGGCCCCTCCCCCCAAAAAATAATAATTAATAAATAAATAAATAAATAAATGGAATCACAGTGTTTCCATACTTTTTTCTTTTTCTACTTCCATAACTTTCTTCTTCCATTCATCAAATGTTGGTATATCTTCTGGATCTTTGGGACTTGTTACAGATATATGGTCAATTTCCCCTGGTTTTGTATAATCAGAACTCTGAAAGAAATGTGAAAGAACAGAGAAAACAGATTAATAAATTATAAAAGTACAAATGTTTATGTGAAATTAAAGTCCAATTTTATAGTTGATAGATAATATTTCAAAAAAAAATGAAATGTAAAAAGTTTTGGTTTACTTAAAAGTTGAGTTTCTCTTGAAAAATTGAAATCTTCTACCTAAGCACAACAAGATATATTCCTTCACGTTAACAATATAAGTATAGGTTGTAAAAAAAAATTGTATTATATCCTAAGCAATTACTTACACATAAAACTGTACAAATCAATAAATACTACAGTTGTAATGCAACCATCTTAAAATTTAAGTTAAAATAATATAGGCATTAAAGAAAGCGAACTAATTTTAGACGTAGCATATAGTTTCTAAAAGATCCTTAACACGAATTACCATTCACATAAAAATTTAAGATGGATTTAAAAACATAAAGAAACACAAAGAGTCTAAAGAAAAACAAAGCTTTTTAAAGAAAGTATAGAAAAATCTTCATATATAAAAGGATTTAACAAGGTGAAGAAAGAATAAATCATAAAAAATTTTAAGTCTGATACATTTGGCTGGATTAAAATTTAAAATTAAATGTATCAAAAGACCATAAACTACATTGTACAATAAGCCACAAGCTGAAATAAGTAGTTGCAATATCTGCAACCAATAAAGGATTACTACCAACTACAGACTACCTACAATCAATAATGGAGGAGATAAACAATAAATTCAGCAAAGAGAAAATACAAAATGCTCAATCTCAGTAATAATCAGGGGAATGCAAATGAAAACTAGAGATGCTGAATAAATTATACCAATCTGATGGAGTTTGAAGTGTGGCATGTCTGTTGAACCATGGGACATCTATTAGACTGCTGAAGGGGGTTCAAAATTTAGCAATATTAAGGGTGCATGGCTGGCTCAGTCAGAAAAGCATGCAACTCTCATCTTGGCGTCCTGAGTTCAAGCCCCAAATTGGGTGCAGAGATAACTTAAATAAACTTAAAAAGATTTAGCCATATTAAGTAAAGATGTGCATACCCTATGACCCATTAATTCCACTCCCATGTATAAATATGAGTGAAAACATGCACATGTGCCTAGGAAAATATGCATGAAAATGCTTACTGCAGCATTGTTTGTAACATCAAAAAATTAGAAAAAACCTGAATTGAAGACCAGATAAATTGTGGTAGTGAAATACAACATTGTAAACAATGAACAGACAAATCTCAAAAACAATGGTGAGTAAAATGATATTTAAGGCAAGAATGATACCACTTTATATTGCTTCAAAATATGCTAAATAATAGTATGTACTGTTTATAATAATGCAGTTTTGGAAAAAGTTTAAAAACACACACATACACACGCTGAATTTGACACAGGTGTTCTATCTGAAGAGGAGAGAAGAAATATAACTGGGAAAAGGCACACAATTTAATTTGTAATTTTTTCCGTAAGCTGAATAATATATGTAAAGATGCTCATTCCATTATTTATTTCTGTATTCCTAAAACAGTGCATAACATATTTAGTAACAGTTCCCTGAGAAGTGCACAACATCTATTTAGACAGCTTACTCCGGTAAATAGCACAAGTCTCATGTAGTGTACGTGTGCTATATATAGGGTAGGGCACATTCTGAGAACTAATACTCGCTGTATTAAAGCACACTTTTTTTTTAAGATTTTATTTATTTATTTGACAGAGAGAGAGACAGCGAGAGAGGGAACACAAGCAGGGGGAGTGGGAGAGGGAGAAGCAGGCTTCCCGCGGAGCAGGGAGCCCGATGCGGGGCTCGATCCCAGGACCCTGGGATCATGACCTGAGCCAAAGGCAGACGCTTAACGACTGGGCAACCCAGGCGCCCCTAAAGCACACTTTTAAGGACTGATACTAGTATATTAGAATTACACTAATACACTAGCTTATTAGAATTACATGAATTACCCAAATACACGAATACAAATACCCATAATCTCCCTCTAGGAAGACAGCAAATTGGCTCCCATACAACCTCCATCTTTTGCAGAACAAGCTAAATGACTAAATAATGTGGCTATTAAATAAAAACCTAGTTTCAGCACAATGAGAAAATAAGCAAAAAACATATATTTATAAAAATTAACCTGAGTACTTAAGAATAAAGCCCAAATACTAAAAGAAATACAACAAAAAGTAGAGGAACATACACACACTTTTTGAGGTCCAGGCAAAGCAATCACTATCACCTCTTAGTAACAAATAAGAGAACTAAACAATACAATAAAAACACATGATAAAGTACTGTCTCTCAGTATGGCAAAGACTGTCTTCCAGATTCTTGAGATAACAGGGATAACACAAAGATCTTTTGCATCAGAAAAAAAACTCTCTCCAGTCACACAAGCTTAACTGGGAAGAATTATCCTGAACTGGACAACACATAAAACTACTGGATATTTCATAATGTGCTTATTATCTGATAATTTTTCCAGGATTAATATAGTTAAAAATTATACCATTTTGCCTATTAGCACAAACTCAGAAACCATTTTTATATACTAGGTAATGAAGGGCAGTTTAAGTCTGCCAATGGTGAAGGAGAACAAGCAAAACTGGGACAAAACTGGCTGCCATGTAGTATCAGAGAAGTCTATGTAGTATCAGATGAATCTTAAATACCTCCAAAGAAGATATTTTTGTAATGTTTGTCTACTTTTATTTATGGCTGTAGACAACTGAACTATAACATATGCTTGATTTGGTTTCATTGGGAAAATTAGTTCCTTCAAGATGGTGGGCTACGAAATGTTGAGCTCCTATAATTGTAAGAAGCATCATAGAAACAGCTGGTAGTGATAGTAAAGTCTCCAGAAGGAAGTTTAGTTAGTTGTGAGTACAGATTCACTGAAAATATATGACAGAGAAGGTGGAGAACAGAAGATCCAAATTAAAAAGGAACAAATGTGGACATGGTACTCAGTACTTTGAACCTCTCTTTGATTCCGCATGTTTTACTTTTGTTAAGTTCATGGAGTGGACTTCATCTCTGTTACTCAGTTATTTCTTACCTGAAGGAGGCCTAGACTTCTCTGTCAACATTTCTTCAGGAAATTCTGCATTGGCCTCTATATGAAGTCAAAGCAGAACTCAAAAGGAGAAAGGAAAGTAAAACTGCTACATGGGGCTAGTATAATTGTAAAATTCATACTCTTCAATATAAGCTGTATTCTGCACACAAATAACAAAAGGTAAAAATGTCTCTTTAAAATAATTCTGGTTGAAAAGCCTAAATTTAACAGTGTATATGGAGTTAAACTTATTATTCTGAAGATACCTGAATTTAATAATCATAACTTCTTCTATATAGCTCTCCAGAAACTTCTTAAGTAAGGACTTTACGTATCTGCTATCAAACAGTTGATGGTAACAGAAAACCACTTAATTATATACAACTAAAGGCTGTTCATACTTGGAACAACTGTATGTATAAATAATATACTGGTAAGAGTACCCAGGAAGTAACCATTTGCTCTCAGGAAGTACAGCTCACCTCAGTTCCACATTCCTCATTAACTACTTAATCCCTAATTTTATGGCAAATATGGTTAGCAAATTGCAAGATTAGCTAATAATAAAAATGCATATAATAAAGTAGGAAACAGTGCAAGTATATAACTTACCTCATTTTTTAAATTATCTGAAGCGTTCAATGCAGATTTTGTATCACCACTAGCCTGATCACTTGCTGAAACTTTTGATTCAAATTCTGATTTTGTTATTTTTCCTTTGCCATGTGAAGATGACACATTTTCTATATGCTGGCCAACAAGGCTATTTGAAACCAAAAAGACATATTAAAAAAAATTAGCTGAATAACAAGTTTATGTAATCTAAACTGTTAAAATTATCATGTACAAAATAAACCAAGAAAAGAGCACAAAGGGATTAGCTTTCTCGCGATCATAAAGTGGAATTAGGCACACACCAAAGTCCATTCAAACATGACACTGCTATTATTACAGAATTATACAAAAGGAAAACAACAGCTCACACCCACCTTTCAGGTGGACTGACAAAGGAAGGCTGATCAACTGGAGTATTCGCTTCAAGGGCCTCACCAACATCACAATCAGTTTCAGATTGCTCAGTTTCACTTGGTTTTGCTATAGGAATAGTACCAGGGTTTTCTATTTCACTAAAAATAGAAACAAAAAAGACAATCTGGCAACTCAACGAACATAATGTGGCATAAGTTACAAATTGTATTAGTGATTTTCAAAACATAATCTAAACCAGAGAAGAATGCCTTACTGTTCTACAGGCTGTTTTCAAGAATTTACTTATTTTAAATCATGTAAAGTTAACTGCTGACTCTTGATCTGTTAATGGCTTTGGCTGTTAAATAGGTAATTACCAAATTTTAAAACAAAATATCATAGCTTAGTATTTGATCTCATAAAAAATAAGATTTTAAATTTATTTATGTATGTATTTATTTATTAGAGAAAGAGAAGGAGAGTGCACTAGCACATGCAAGTGGGGACAGGAGGGACAGAGGGAGAGGGAGAGAGAATCTTAAGCAGGCTCCATGCTCAGCATGGAGCCCGACTTGGGGCTCAATCTCATGACCCTGAGATCATGACCTGAGCTGAAATCAAGAGTTGGATGCTTAACTGACTGAGCCACCCAGGTGCCCTTAAAATTTATCTTAACTGTATCTTCTCTAATGTTTCTTTTCTGTTAGTACAATCTACCAGTATTAGAGTTGTTGCCTATAGTTATCAAAAAATAATCTATTATCTTAAAACATTTCACTAAGTTCTTAAGGCACTTTTAGAATTTCATTTTTAAAAATACTACCCTAATATTCTGTCCTACTCACTTCCAATTCACTAAGCAGTCATGTTCAGTACAATGGGAAAATAAGATGTACTGTTCAGATTTGTAATATCTAGCCTTAAATTCTTTCTGGAATAAGTATTTTTAAATTTTTAAATACTACCGTTACTTCTAAGAATGTCTTGTTTCTTTATTCCTTACCTAGGATAAACCCCTAAATGGCAACTCTAACATCTTTGAATACAACTCCTCTACCCCAGTCCCTTCCATTCTTGAGAAGAATAAGTGTTTAAAAAGTGCTGTGGGAAAAAAAATTTAAAAAGTAGTGAAGATAACAATAATATTAACTGACACATATATTATCATTATGTGCCAGATATTGTTCTATTCATTTTTAATATATATATTAACTCATTTGATAAAGGAAATGCTTAATGTAGTATGAGAGAAGGGAATTTTGTTCTGTAGTGTTGCTGTAAGGACTAGGAAAGTACACAATAGATTTTCTAAATTAAGGAACTCTTACAGCTACATATTCTGAATATTTATTATCAAGTTTGAAAAAGGTAGCTATTCACAAAAAGACACAATTATGAATGGAATGCTTCAGTAATACTTGATAGAAATGAATAATCTGACATTCGAATCTTTGATAATTAGTGGGAAGATTATTCAAATAAGTAGTTACTTAAACAAGTAGAACCTCATTTTTTGTGATGCAGAGATTTCATGGCTGAGATCTAATCAACCTCACTGGGTTTAGAAACAGAATAAATACTCCTTATATCAAAAGATCCTTACATTAAAATAAAATAAAAATGCAAAATAGAGGCATCATAACTTAAGTCTGCTATACAGTCTAAACTTCAAATCTGAGTTTCAAGCTGCCTTATCTTCTTAAGACATTTTTCTATCATTACCTAATTAGATTCTCTTTTTTTCTTTGTAATAACTTACTCAAGCTTTGAGATTGGAGTGATCTCTGAGGTAGATGAGCTGGAAATATTTTCAATGTTTTCACTGCCCACAACTCCACTGGAAGAATCTTCATGTAGATCAATTGTAGGGAGTGTCTCAATTACAGATGGACTTAACTTTTTTGACTCCATATTCTGTTTAAAAAAAAAAAAGTCAGTTATATTAAATGTTGAGATTAATAAGTTATCTCTTTAGCTATACAGGATTTTATAAAAGTATGTCTCAAAAGTGACAGTATCAAGAATGTACTTTTATAAAAATCCTATCTTCCAACAATACCTCCCAAGGAATATATTTCATATTAAAATACAAGCTCTAGACATTTTTCATGGCATTTCACAAACTAGAAAAAAGGAGCTTGCCTTTCTTCTTTCCTATTTTCTATCAGGACCTACATATATTTCCCTCTTACTTTAATTAATGCTAGTAGCAACACAGAAATCATATTTAAATATACAAAACAACACATACTTCTTGCCGCAGAGCAGTTTAGAAGATAATGTACATCAATAAACAACAACACAGGGCATGTACAAGTAACATTACAATGCAATAAATGATTCTCACTGATCCTTCAGTCCTTGGATGCTCTGGGCCATTCACTCCTCCAAAACACAATCTGAAATCTACATAATACCACTCATATTTGAAACCTCTATCAGCACATTCTCCCCCACTACCAACCTTAAATAGAATTAGCCATTCCTCTTCCTCTATGCCTCTACTGTTCTCTGTACAGACTTAATAGAGCATCTGTAAAACCTCAATTGCCTTATTTAGGTCTCCTTCTCTTTTTCAAGTATACTATAAATGTCTTGAGCAAGAACTATGTTCTCTTGATTTTCATGTTCCCTGGCACATAGTAAACATTTAATGCTTATTAAGTGAGTATCAAGTGAGGTACTCATGCTCAGTCCAAGGAAAAGAGAAACTATAGACTATTATGGACTAGAAAAACTAGGACTTTGAAGAAAAAAAGGACCCAGTATGAGAACAGAAAGAAAACATAAGATAAAGAGTCAGTGGAATATAAAATATGATCATTTGGGGAATTATTTACACTGAAATGAAAAATACACAAAGGAATACAAATAGTTTGCATTTTATGGTGGAGGCCTTGAGAAAAGGAGTTTTTATTATTATCAAATATTATCATTTTAATATGTATTCAGTATTAAAAAAAATGAGATAGTTTACTTTTTTTTTTTTTTACTAAGTCTCCAAAATCCAATATGTATTTAATACTTACAGCGAGTCTCAATTTGGACTAACTGCATTTCCAGTGCTCAATAGCCAAATGTAGCTAGTGGCTACTATACTGAACAGCAAAGATCTATAAGACGCAGTAAGCACTTCAAAGTACTTGAGCAAGAGTATACCATGATAAAAATTCTAGAAAATGAACAATGGCAGGACTGTTCGGGATAGTCATATAACTAGAAGGGCTACAGAGAACACTTTCTTACTCTTACGTAGAAACATTTGACAAACATCTTCTAGGATCCAATAAAATGAAACTCACTATTTGTACTTAGATAGCCCAATTAAGTCATAAAATAGCTCTAACTGTATTTAAAAAAAGAATTCTCCCTCATTTTGAGCTGAAGTTTGTTTTTGTTGATATTTGAGATACTTAGTTTTTCCTTAGTTCTTCGTCCTCCAGATCAAATATCCCTAGTTCCTTCAGCTATTCCTGATATTAAATGGGTTCCAGATGCTTCAGCATTCTAGTCAGTTTATAGTTTTTCACATCTTTCATAAAATCTGATGTACAAAATGGAAAATAATATTCAGAATGTAATATAAGAAACATATAAAACATACTTTAACCTATTATTAATTCATACTCCACACTGAGTGACAAAAGTTTGGTATCAAAATACTTTGTTTTACATACAAATACTTTCTTTTGTTGTAAGTTAGAAAAAATTTCCCGACATCTAAAAATCTGGAGACAAAGATCCGTTATAGTGAGCCAAAATGGAATCTACGAAGACATGAGAACTTACACCCAAACTTTTACTACAAAGAAATAGTCACATTTATTATTAAATCTGTAATTTTACATTTTCTCAAAAGCAGTACTCTTAGCAGGTGAATAGTATTAAAGCCAATTGCACAACAGTTCAAAAAGAAAAAGTAACAATACACAATATGGTGACCAAACAGAAGTTTTCTGTCTTGTGAAGCAGTTTTAAAAGACGTTATCATTAAAGATCAAAGCAACATAGCTTACCTGTACATCCACAATGTAGTCATCTTTTAATTTATGTTCTTCTGGAGGAATAGGTAAGTTTGAGCCCACTTTTTCCGATAATTCGGCATTGATAGGTCCCTCTCTTTTATCCTATATTGCAACAAAGAAAAAAGGGTAACTGATAAAACTGTTTCACAAAACAGTCCTAAACAATATTATATACTTTATAACACATTTGACTCTTACTTTTATTTGTGTACATGCTTATTGTCCATCTTCCTGCATTCCCTTCCTTGCCACCACTTAAAATGTATACTAAATGAGTTGAAGACCCTCATTTGATTTCTTAATAAGCACTTTAGTCCTACCACGCAGCACTATGTATTAGGCACACAGTAAGACTTCAGGAAATATCTAATAAATGAATGTACATACAGCTCTTTGTATCATCTCTCTTTTGACACTGACTTACAAGTTAAGATTTCAGACACCTTCAAGTTTAAATGTATCTTCTAGCATGTAAGTTTCATAAAAGCAAAGTTCATATTCTTTGTTTACGTAAGTCTTTATAACGTATACCAGATACTTAAATATTTGCTGAAAGAATATGTTTTCCCCCCGAATACTTCGCTTATATTCATTCTCACATTTAGTCTTCAAATTTTTCAGCAGAGATTAGATCAAAGTTTTACAGACCGTGGGTAAAAGTATAAAATTGTATTCTTTTTAAAGAGATATTCAGCAACAGTCTTCAAAATTGCTCCATCCCAGAAACAAATCCAACATAACTCCAAAATTTGAGTAAGTATCATGCCAACCCCTCCAAGTATGTAATTATAAACTTATGTTCACACACATGCACACACACAAGCCCACATGCACACACACAAGCCCACGTGCACAAACACAGGTGAGAAACAATGCTAAAGTCTGTCAATAAAGAAATACATCATAATTTATACAATGAAATGAAAATGTAACCATCACAAGAATACAACAACATGAAAAGGTATCTATGAGATATTATTGGGGCAAAGGGGGAAGTCATTTGTAGAATATTTATAATATGACATTTTATGGAAAATAAAATACTAATTTGTGTGCCATATATAGATAACCAAAAAAAAAAGTCTCAATGTTTTCACAAGAAACAGTAAATTGTGGTTCCTCTGGGGAGGGGAACAGGATATAAATATGAATATTTTACAGTTAGTATAAATTACTTCTATACAGTTGATCCTTGAACAATGCAGGGGTTAGGGGTACCAAGCCTTAGCACAGTCAAAAATCTCCATATAACTTTTGACTCCCCAAAAACTACTAATAGCCTATTGTTGACCGGAAGCTGTACCAATAATAAGCAGTCAATTAACACATATTTTGTATGTTATATGTATTATTATACTGTATTCTTACATTAAAGTAAGTTAGAAAAAACAAAGTGTTAAGAAAATTGTAAGAGAAAATACATTTACAGTACTGTACCATAAAAAAATCTGCATATTAATGCACCCACACAGTTCAAACCCATGTCATTCAAGGATCAACTGTAATACATATATTGATGGGGGGGGAGCCAAATCTAGTCAATACTCACCTTCTATTATTGAGTGACTGATTGATTTTACTTTCTTTTTTTTTTTTTAAGTAGGCTCCATGCCCAATGTGGGGCTTGAACTCATGATCCTGAGATCAAGAGTCACATGCTCTACTGATTGAGTCAGCCAGGCACCCCACCTTTTATAATTTAAAATGATAAAATAATAAATGATTTAAAGACCATCTGGTCTGGTTTTTTGGACTCTGTCTATTCACTCCACCCAATTATATAAAAAAACTACATAGCCACTGACTGCAGGGTCTCCCTATAATCCTCAGTTCTAAGTGTTTACTTATAAGGGTTTCTTTCGAAACCTTTGAACTATTTAGAATATTAAAAAGTGAACCACTGGTTTTCAGTTCTCCGAATAGCTACTATTTTTTTCCCTACTCTAGGACTAACGATGTTACAACATTCCAAGAATAAACATACAAATATCTCAAAGATAGCTTACTTTCAGAATGACCTGAGTAATTCTTCCGATTACAGCAAGGAGAATTACAAATCACCAAAAACTATGTCATAGTATTTTTGAAATGACTTTTATTCCAAACGTTTTGAGGAAGTCTTAAAAAGCTGACACACAAATTACATTGTCAACTTTATTTAAGGTACCTTTTTCTGGAATTGTACATCTTCATTTTCTAGTGCACAATTGTCATCTTGAGAGTAATATGATGAAGCTGAAGAACTCTCTTTACAACATACACGCCAACTGGGAAGCCTGTAAAACATTCACCATCACCAAAAGAAAGAAAGAAGGAAAAGTTGTTAAGCCAACATATTCCCTACTATGGGCTAGAATTTTAGGCAATAAATAAATAGATGGCTCCTACCCTAATGCCCTCAAGAACTTAACAATTTAATGAAGACAAATGTACGTAAGACAAGTATTTTTATTTAATGCCCTAAAAACCCCCCATAAACTGTGTTATCAGCATTCCAAGTAAGGCATTATGAATTTCATGAAGGTAAAACAATAAAGATTTCACAAAAGGAGTATCTGATAATTATCACAGAAGGAAAAGTTTTCAAGGAGTTAACCTCCTCAGAAAGTATCAGATGCCAATAATATTCTAAATTTTACTAAATATTTAAGAACAGAGAATTCTAAAGCTGCCTAAACTATTTCAAAGCATAGAAGCTAAGTTTCCAAATAATTTTGATATAGGAAACAAAGCCGTGATAGCCAAAATTAAGAGAAATAGCACACACAAATGAATACTACAGGTTAATACAACCTTTGAAATCAGACACAAAAATTCTAAATAAAACAATAAAAAAGAAAGTCTCTAGGAACACACCAAAGAAATAATATACCACTGTTATGATCAAGTAAAGTTTAGTTCCGATATTCAAAAGTGGTTCAATATAATAAAATCTATTTATTTAGTCTACCATGCAAAAATATGAAGGAAAAATATCTTATGATTATTCCACAGTCATTGAAAGACATCTGATAAACTTACACATCCATCAAGATTTTCTTAAAATAGAGAATAAGCAGATGTTTACCATGGAAACATATATGCACAATACGCAAGCCTAAAAGTCAGTACCAAACTTAGTGACGTAATCTAAAAATAACCCTATTTAGATCTGAAACAAGACAAGAATGTCCATTACTGTTAGTATTATGTAATATGATAAAAAGTATAAAAATGGAAAAGGGGACAGAAAATGATCCTTAATTGCAGATAATGACTTTATATAGGTGGAAAATTAAAAAGAACCACCTATTAAAAGAAGTCTTGGATATAAAAATTATATTCCTAGGTATAAAATTAGATTCAAATCAACTCTACTCAAACCATCACCACCTGTTACAAGATGAAACAGAAGAAAAGTCCCCATTTGCAAAAGAACAATAAAAACTAAAATACAAACTTAGCAAGAAATGTTCTATTTGGTTGAACTGTTCGAAATCGCCAATATTTGACAATTCTTTAACATGGAAAAGTCAAATTATACAATTTGAGCTAATATATACAGAAGATTTAAAGACATAAAGAAGATTTTTAAGTAGGTAGGCTGATATAAAATTTATATAAACAGTAAGAATAATCAAGAAGATTTTAATATGAGGGAACTACATGTCTATGAAACCACAGTAATCACAACAATATAGTATTGAGATGAGAGAGGGAAAGGGAATCCCCTTGGTGACTGGAAACAGAAATCCTAAGACGACAGCTATACAGAGAGAACAGGGAGCAACCAAGTCTAAATTGGAGGTTATCAGAAACTCTAGAAGAACCTTCTTTCAGAGGATGAAATTGACAGCACATCAGATAGGTCTTTGAAAATGTTAAGTACAAATCTATGTAACTGCCAGATAGTTCGTAATTAAATAAAAAAATAAGCAAACTTAGTAAGTCAAATATTAGTTCCAGGAGAAAAGAAAAGAAGTACAGAAAAGGAAAAGTAATCATGTTTTACTACATGGCTCAGCTGTGAATAGCATATATATGTCAATAATTATATAAATAATGAATATTGATCTAACCCAAATTATGACAGAATTGTATTACCAGCATATAGTAAAAAGAATCTGATCATCTGCACCAGAATACCTAAAACTGACATTAAAGCAATTATTTTAGAGACAAAGAATATAAAATTAATCAGCCAAGAGATGAAAGTGGTTTCTTTCAAACCAAAATAAATAAATAAATAAATAATAAATCTTTTAGAGCTATCTGACTTTCATATGGATATACTATTTTGATAAAATTAAAACTAAAAAAATAAAGGGGGAGAAGAGCAAGGTACATAATAATATATACATACTTAGTAGGCTACCATGTATACATGTGTACTAAAGGTATTTGTGTGTGCATCCATTTCTTTGAAAGATTTTTTTTTTTAAAAAGCACTACCTTGGTTGCATCCAAGGAGGAAAACTGGGTGGCAGAATCACAAGAAAAATACAAGAGCATTTTTTACTAAATACTCTATGTCTTCTGAATTTTGAACCACAAGAATATATTACTTTTCAAAACCTCATACTGATACATCATTATTTATTATGTACTTCTTTACTGACAGACTTTTACACTGTTTCTCAGGGGGGGAGGGGTGTTTCTCAGGGGGGGG